GAAGCGCTACCGCTCAGCCACCGGGCTATATTAATAATCATAAATTGCGGATGTCACAAAGGAGTTATGTGATTTGAATAAAATTTTTAACCTAGTAACTAAACATCACCCCGTTGAAATATATTATTTATACTAATAATAAAAATTTTAATGTATTTTTCCAGTGTAACTGGAGATCATATACACACTTATCCTACACTCCATAAAGCGCATATAATTGTATAAAAACATGCATATTAAAAAAAAAGTTCATTATAGTTATTTATCATTAAAGTAATTAATGTTGAGTGTAAAAATAACAAAAGACTTATGAAAAGAGGAAAATTGTTTTGGTGCATGTACACTGATTATTACATATTTCAAAACATCAACTTTATATAACTATGTACACAAGAAATCAGAATTGCACTAGATTCTTTTTGATATTTTCAAATTCAAGATGCCTTTTTCAAAAGCTTTTGCTTGAAAGAAGTAAATTTCTTCACCAAGAGTAGCTCTTTTTAACACTTATAAATGGATTTGAAGAAATTTTATTAATTTATTAACACTTCATTAATATCAAAAGTTGTCGAGTTGAGAAATCTTTTCTACTGTTTGAAAGCCATACATTTTCGACCTTGTCTAACTTTGCTGTTATATCTTGACAATTTTTGCCTCTTGCATTTTCAATTTAATAATATAACTCAGTTTAAATGTGTTAAACTTGTAAAAACAAGCTAATACTTCTAAAAATTTTAAAAAGAGACCCAAAATTAAAAAAGAAAAAATTATTCACAGAAAAAGCTCTAAAAATTCTAATTGTTGCACTAAATGAGCAAAAGAATCCAGAAAGGCAAATTTGCTTAAATTATGTTTCTAAGTTATAAATAAAACAATAATTACCAAAACGTCACTGTTGGAGTCTATTACATTATTCCAAATCTTTCCATTCAAACTGTAACTGACTGTAAAAGCTGTAACCCATTCAGGCACCTGATCTCTTCCTTGAATTTTCACTCCAGTTAAATTGCGGGGCTCCACAAAATTGATCTGGAAAGAAAAAAAATTTTCAAATAATTCTACTAAAGTCAGTTTACAACAAAGTAAGAAAAATCAATTTTTAATTAAAACTCAAAGCTAAATTAACAGTAGTGAAATATTTACACAAAGCAAGTGAAAGAGGAATTAAAGGGTGGGGAAAAAACTAAAGATCCTAAACTGAAGGTCATCCCGTGAATTGAAGAGTTCACAGAGTGGTTAAAATAGTTTCAGTTAAGAGTTATACTCTCGTTACAAGGTGAATATTTAAAAAATGGTACTTATGACGTTAAAAAATATTTGATAAAATAATTTTTTGCGATAAAAAATTCTTTAAAAAAATTAAATTGACTTTGAAATTGCTTGGATTTTATATTTGTTCTAGCCATTGAATGATTTTATAAAAAGAAACAGTTCAACAAAATATAATTTTAGATATGACAACAGGGTGCATAGCCAAATCTTTCAACAAAAAATAAGCACCTTTTAAATACTTTTTAAGCACTTAAAAATATTTTTAAGCACTACATACATTAACACTAAGCAAAATAATTTTCAAAGATCCTACATGATCATGATAAAGTAACTAGTTTCTGACAAAGAACTCTTTTTCCTGATTACATTAGCCACCATAAAAAGATAGAGATTTTTCGGTTCGATTTCAGAGGGAGGAAAATGAAGCACGGAAATTGAGAATCTCCTGCACAATGCAGCCGAGTTACACATGATAGTGCAAGAATAATTCCCACTGAATCCAGTTCAGTATATGCACATGCGGACTTTCAAGCATTTCATCAAACATGTAAAATAATCAGCGCTTTCATATGTTACGGAACGACAGTACGCCGAAACGCATTGTGTTTGAATGATTTCTCAAAATGTTGAATAGAAAAATGCGAGACCCACGCTCTTGCATAATACATGGTAAAGAAAATCAACATGATAAAGAAAAAAATTTTCATTTTCGAAAACGGAAAATCAAAAACTTTTTAAAAGCACCCAATAAAAAAAAGCACTGTTATGGGCTTTAAAAATACAAAAATCGAAAATAAGCACCTTTAAGCACTTTTTAAAAACGTTCACATTCACATTCTGGACAAATGTGAAAAATATTTACCTGAACAAACTGATTCTGATCAGCATCGGCAGCTACCCAGCCACCAACACTCACATCAGTTTGAGGATTATTCAAACGAATGTATTTACCACTGGCATTTGGATAAATATTGCTTGAAGTAATAATTTGGAAATCTTGAATAGATCCATTGTAAAGACCCATATCGTCAACACATATTGGAGCTGTAATTATAACACAAAATCAACAGAGTATTTTGGCGAGTAAATAATTATAGTTCATTATTATTTACAAATACATTTTATAGGAGTAGCATTTACATTTATTTGATATTCATCAACTAATTCCTCTAATCTGCTTTTAAGTGATAAAACATGTTCCAGGTTTTAATAAAACTATTTAAGTATTATAACACTTTCAAAGCATTAATAGATTTAAAATTTATTCAGTTTAATCTTTATATTGAAAAATAACACACAAAAATAACACCAAATAACATACCAGCAACTGTTGTTGTTGGAAGAGTCAATCCTAAAATAAGAAAATGAATTTTTTTTATAAATATTATGTGAAATCAATTTTTTTTCTTTTTTTACATACAAAAATCATTGAATATAATTAGCTTAATATAAATAAAATTCACAATCAATTTTACGAAAATTCATTTCATTTGGAAAAAAAATATAGAAATATTTATTTTTAGTGTAATGGATTTTGACTTGCTCTCTTGAGAAGAATTTTTTTTTTTGGCAAACATCTATGAACTGCCCTCTAAGAAACTCACACTTCTTTGTATTTAAAGACACTCTCCATACCTGGATCTTCTTGGTGTTAAACTGCAAGACTTATGCTTAATATATCAAATACAAGTATGTCATTTTAAAAAAATCTTAAAGCGCATTCATCACATTTACCTTATTCATGATAAGTAAAAAATGCCTGATGTAAAAAAAAAAAAGTTGATGGGTTGGATTAAATGTTTGAATATAATAGCAAAACCCTTGATTCCACTTACTTTCGATGAGCATAATTAAACAGCGCTAAAACTATTCCTGTGGAAAAAAAGTAAAAGAAAGAATAAACATACAAATAAAAAGGACATGTTGAGAAGATATCTTAGGGCTTTTGCATTTCCCTGAAGAAAGCAAACTCTTCTTTCCTCATGTTAGTTAATGAATCATCATAATAATTTAGGCAAGGAGCGGGTTGAAATTGTGATTTACATAAGAATTTAAAATTTAGTTTAAGGAGAAGATAGAAAAAGGTAAATACCTTCAGCACAGGCCAGAACATCTACTCTCATGGCTATATCCCGATGGAAACCAAGAGGCTGGATACGCACAAACCTAGCTTCAAAAGGTATTTGAAATATATGCTGAATAGGAGTATCACTGTCAAAGTTTCCTATAAAGATCTAATGAACCAACTTATGAATGAAATTTGGATGTACAGTTTATTTCATTAATAATGTTATGTTATACTAGAAAAAAACACCATTTATAAGCAGTAATTTTAAACACTAATATTTTATGTACAGTGAGCAAAATACAAATATGGCAGACCTTAACAACCTTTCCTTAATATGTGACAATCCTATAATTAGATCAAAAGTTATTGCTATGTTCCATTTTTCATCTGAGCACTGTACATGTCAAAAGAATGTAGATTCAAATCTAGTATTTACACAACCTAATTTTTTCCGGAGAGCATATTAGAATTAACTATATATTGAATACTTTTCCTTTATACACTCTTTCACATCAGTATGTATATAGTTTTTAATGCTGAACAGATGATTTGTAAATTTTAATTCTTAATCTTTGTAACATGAAAATTTATCAAAAATAGGTTTAGAAAATATACAGATCATTAGAGTATAAATGTTTTACAGTGGGAGATTTTTATAACGCAATACTTTAAACCCAGGACTTAGCGTTTTATGGAACTTTGTGCTATATAAATCATTTCTGACTAACTGACTTAACCTTACTGACTAAATACGGCAATATTAGTCTGGAACAGATGAATAGTAATATGCTTTATAACTTTTAGATACAAATACTCAAAAATACAAAATACACACTTTATTATATACAAACGAAAATTAAAATATTGTGAAGTATTAGAACTAGGAACACACATATTAACCAATTTTGGCTTGTTTAGCTTTTGAAACTTTAATCTTTTAGCAAACAATTAAGCAAATGATGTAATGTTCCTTCTTAGTTATAGAAATTCCTCACTGCAAATTTCATTGTTTATACCCATAAAGTTAGTGTGGTTTATAGAATTGCGTTATATAGGCCTAGCTGCCAACATGAATAGGAAAAAATCCAGTCGATTCTACGAAATAATATAAATTTAATGATAATTGTTGCATAATGTATTAAATATTTTACAGATAGGGAATTTCAGGGATTTTTATATTCAACCAAATTGAAATACTGCAATATTCTCCAGTTATGATTGACATTAAATAAACTTGAAATGTTATGTATTATGTTTACTCATAATTTTGAATAGTAATAGGTATTTAATTCGCCAAAGATAGTTGAAATTTTTTAAAATTGATTTAAAGAGAATTTTTAAAATTAATTTAAAGAGAGTTCTGAATAAGAATAAGCTGAACATTTTAGATAAAAAAAAAAGTTTTCAAATGACTTTTGTAAATGTGGCTCGCTTCATTATGTATTGGTACTACTTATTAAAATATTCAAGCAAGTTCTGTCTGTGCAAAAACTCTAATTCAATAGGGATTTTTTTTATAGGAAATTTTCTAAAGAGTATAAAAACTCGGAGAATTTTTATTAAACCAGTAGACCAGAAGAAACTGACAAAATCCAGTAGTCTACAGGAAAATGCAGTAGAGTTGGCAGTTATGTATAGGTCTTCACCTGTAACTTGTTTACAAATTGATTCGCCCATTTACTATTAAGCTGGTTCACTTCTTCACTTATACCCAAACTCACGGCTTTTCTTCCTTCCCTTGCGTTCTATACCAAGAATGATTCATAATAGCTGTTGTCTAAGTGGCCCACCATTAATAAAAAATGTGAATGATAGTCAAAGTAAAGGTTCTAATACCTTAGATTAACATAGATTTTCAAATCCATAAATTTGTTTTCAAAATCTGATAAATCATTATGGTAAAATTGGAATTCAAAGCATAAAATAACAGTTTATTTAAAAGAATAAACTGAAAGGTTGTAAATGGAGATAAGAAGCAATTACAGGGTTTCCACAGAAAAAAATTAACAAAAAGTTGCTTTTAGTAGTCTAAAGAATGAAAATAGTTGCCGAAAACTAAGAAAATAGTTGCCCAAATAAGAACCAAAATTCATCAAAAATATGACTAAAATTTTATTAAATGACTTAGTTGTCTCCTTTTTTAGTCTAGCGTAGATTTTTAAATCTATAAATATCTTTTCAAAACTTGATGAATCAATAATAAAATCAAAGTTAAGTTGTGATTCTAAGCATAAAAACATTTTATTTTTCAGTTTAAAGTTAAAGTTCATGAATAAAGATAAAAAGCATAAAAACCATTCACCACTTTACAAAAATATGAATGATGATTGCTAAAATATATATATAGCAATCATCATTCATATTTTTGTAAATAGCATTGGTAGTGAATGGTTTTTATGCTATTTATCTTTATTCATGAACTTTATTACTTCATGAACTTCCTCAGATTAAAACAGACTTTTAAATCTAAAACATTTTTTTTTCTTCAAATTTAGTGAACCACTATTGAAGTTTTATTTCAACAGCTGCAGAAGTTTGACAGCACCCATAAATAAACATACCTTATCTTTATTGTCTATATCAGATGGGTCAGTCACGTAAGCATAGGCCACACCATCCCGACTATACAGCACTTTGTAAGTTTTGACCCATTCATCAAATCCATTTCGACCTTTTGTGACTACACCATATACTGGCTGAATTTTGATCAAATCAATTTCGATAAATTGCTGTTCATTCAAATCTCCAGCAATCCAAGCACCAGCTAAAGTAAAAAAAAAAGGAAATTAACTTATTTAAATAAATTATATTGAAATTTAAATAATTACATTAATCTTCACACAGAAATTATACCAATAAAGGCAATAATATCAATATTGTAATTTGTGCCTAAAAAATATGCACACTTTGGTATCGTAATAAAAGCATTTCATAATGTGATTTTATTTGTAACCATTTTTTTCAATGAACTTAAATGATGTAATCAAAATTTTCTGTTTTTTATGCATTTCTTCGTTAAAAAAAACCACTGTTGCTGTTTTAGGAGATCAATTTTATGTATAGTTTGTTTAGTAGAAACATGAAATTTTAAAATTACAATTATTTATTATAAGTACTAAAATTATTTAAATAAATTATATAATTTATTTTTAAAAATTATAATGAAATTTAAATAATTACATTAGACAGAATCACACAGAAGAAATTATACCAATATAAAAGCAATAATATCAATATTGTAATTTGCGCCTAAATAATATGCACACATTGGCATGGTAATAATGGCATTTTATAAAGAGATTTTATATTGAACTATTTTTTTTTTCAAATACTTTAAATGATGTAATAAAAAAAAATTTCTTTTCATCTCTACATTAAAAAAAAAACTTTTGTTTTTTACATGACCAATTTTATATACGAATATAATCTTTGAAGACACATGAAATTTTAAAATTACAATTATTTATTACAAATACTAAAATTATTTAAATAAATTATATATATAATTTATTTAAATAAATTATATTGAAATTTAAATAATTACATTATAAGTATTATTATAAGTACTAAAACTTTAAATCCAAAGTAGATAAAAACTACTGATGTTTTAGTTTTTTTATGTCCAAGCAGTTTTTCATAAATCAATAATTTCATCAATCACCAAGAGAATTGGGTTCACAATGTTAATATGATAAAAGCACAACTTAATATTGAGGGTTGGTCAGCTGAAACAAGCAGAGTGGGTGCCCTCTAGTTTTTTTATAATTAACTAAAATATATCCCTGTCTCATTTTGCTTTAAAATTATTATTGCTCAAACATTAATGAAAACTTTTCTTTACAAAACTAGAATGCACAACTATCATAATCATCTAACCTTTGTTACGGGTGTAAAGTGAATTTTACTTACTAGCTCATGGAAGAAAAAAATTATTGAATCTAGCTATAGTAACTTAATAAGATGAGAAGACAAAGAGGTAAGGTTTAAAAAAAAGTTTAATAGCTGTACATAAACTGTATAAAAAAGATCAAAATATATTTGTTGATAAAGGTTCTATTTCGCTTATTGTCAATTGATCTTTATTTTTTATTTAAAGGCTTCTCAAGTTAAATGCATGTTTTTAGTACAACATTTAATCATTCTTAGGAAAGAAAATTTCAATTCATGAAGTTTATTTTAGTAACATGAGACTTGCGTTCGTTTGATCATCATTGAACTTAATTATCGGTGTAAAGGCAACTATTATTCTTTTTAATACTTCATACTATCTTTTTAATAAATAATTTGTATGCAAACTTTGTTTTTATTTACATATATAGTTAGAAAATATTTTACGAAAAGAAGTTAAAACTGAAACGCTTTAAAATTTCAAGGAAACATATTAATTGAAAATTTAAGAACGTCATAATGCCTCTCACATATCATGCCCACGACACTTAATTTTTTTAGATAAACGATTTTTTAGTGTTGTGTAAACCATTCTGTTTCCTTACAATCAAAGAAAGCTCCTAAAATATTATTTTATTATTGATACAAACTATTTTTTGAACTCTACTACTACTAATTATTTGGTTATTTTATCAAACAAACTCTTTCAAGTAGTACCTGATTTGCTGCTAACTTTAGAAGATAAACGTGCACTTTGTGGTCCACTATCAGTATCTTTGCTACTTGAAGCTTTTATACTGCTATCAGGCAGTGGAAGTGGACCATCCACAATATTGTAAAATTCTGTACAAGGTTCTAGAAAAAAGAATCACCATTATTATGAGAGGATAATTTATTTCAAGCAAGTGAATTTCTCAGATTAGTAAAATAAAAAAGTTTTTAAGTAAAACTAAAAATTAACACACTGAGTTGGGGTAGTATATTTTTTTAGGGTAGAGTTTAGACAGTAGAGAAACCTAAGGCTAAAAGTTTTTTTCTTCTTTATTAAATTTTTAATGGCAAGGTACACACAAATGCAAAAACAAGAAAGAATAATTATGAAGGTCATTGCCTTGAAATTACTCTAGCATGCTAGTTGAGCACCCTTTTAGACTCGCCAAAAAGGGATACACATTTATGGGGGTGGGTCACCATTCATCCGATATGCCCAATTACAAAGAGGGTAAGAGTATTCCAATATCGTGGATATAATATGCCCCGCAGTAACGTCCAGCCAGGACAGAGAAAGCACTTTAGTGTTTTAATTTTTCCCTACCTTGAATTATTTGGTATTTGTAATCTTTTTCCATTGTTTGCTTGATACATAGTGTAGCCAGATAGAATGGGTTATTAGTGCAGATGACATGGATTAGTAGAGATAAAAGGAGAAAAACTTTTTAAAAGAGTAACATACAGGGTTAGCTTAAATAATGAATTGAGTTTCAAAGGACAGTTACAAAGACAGGTTACACATGAAAAAATATATACACTCATCAAGTTTCTACTATGGTTTTTATGTGGTTTCCTATCAATAGTTCTGTCTATATGATAATGTGTCCTGTCGATATGTCATAAATCAATAATTGTCACAGGATGTGTTTTTGCAATGTCATTCATTAAAATTAGGAGCAGGCATAGTACAATGGATAAAACTGCGGGGGGGGAAAACATGGAATAAACCGCCCTGGAAGAAATAGGTTTTTTCCAACCAAAGTTGAAGAAACAATTTTTTTTAAAAGGAACAATTAAATATTTAAATAATTTATAATTGCAATCTAGTTTAAAAATAAATATTAATTTTCCAGATAATTTTTATATGAGTAAAAACTAATGATCAACAATTGGAGATAATAATAAATATTTTAATGTAGCTTTTCAATATTTTACGTAATAATTGTGTAGTAAGAATTCATAATATTTTAAAGAACTGTTAAAAATAACATAATAATTAACAAATCGTATACTTAAAATATAGTCCTACTAAAAAACACATATTGAGTTAAAAAATATAAATTTTATACAGGTTTTAAAGTTATGTACAAAACTAAAAAATTATGAAATTAGTTTTCTTTTTTTTAAAAAAGTAAAAGACTAACTTTTACTTTCTAAAGTTTTAACTTTCAGGTGTAAATTTAATCTATGTAAGTTTAAGTTATTAATATAAAACTTATTGCTGAACAATTGTATTGATTTTTTTCCCAGATAAATCCTGATTGAAAGTAGATAAACAATATATTTTTTACCTAGTCCAACAGGAAGAAAAAAAACGTATGTCATGAGATCTGGCAACCTGGGGAGCAACATCAAGACCAAAGGGTTCTATACAGAAATACAGTGCTGCCATAGGCAATCGCCTGGAGCGCCAGATTAAGGGGGTGCTGAATGAGACACACATTTAATATTCACTAAATTATTGGTTTCCATTTAAAAATATTGTTTGTTTGAAAAATATATTTTATAGGTTTAAAAAAATACTGAGCACTTCTCATTTACTAGTGCAATGTTGATACAGTGAATTTCCACTAACTGCAACCATATTCTTCTTTAACTAAAATTTTTATAACTATTTGTCATATCAATTTATTTCAAATATATTGGTATGACAAACTAACTATTTTAATTCACACAAGGTGATAATCTTTAGCTGTTTACAAATTTATACAAAATTTCCATTTTTTCTTTCAATTAAAAAATTTAGTATTAAACAGATATAACTTTTTATTTCTTTCTTAAACATTTAACATTTTTGCAACATTTGTTGTATTTTAAAATTGACTATCCAACTAAAGCAGTTTTTTTTTAAAAAAAGCTCACAGAAAAATAACTAAGTTTTCTTTCTTTAAATAATTAATGTAATAAAAATTTACTTTTCATTTTTAATATTTTTTTTTAGATGCTGTTCTTCTTTAAAGTATGAAAAATTATATTTTAATACTTAGATAAAGAACTTATTAAATGCAAGATACACTGATTGTACTTACTGACATATACAGTTGGAGTAACTATTTTGATTGGAGTTGTAGTTGTTTGTTCTTCTGGAAAAAATAAAATAAAATTTATTCTGATTTGCAGTTATATTCAAGCAATAATCTTGTTAATGACCAGCAGAAACGGACATTGGGCTGCTGGGAAATTTTCTCCCTGCGCTGATTGTGTTAAATCATACTTCTTTTAAAAATCATTTCTATAAAATAGGATTTTTTTTTACTCCAAAACATTCCATATGAATTAACAAGATTTCATTCTTATTTTTGATTCAAAAAGTTTATCATAACACATAATTGCATGATACACCATTCACTTAAAATTTTTTATTGGGCATTTTTTTTTTTTAGATTTTGAACGTTTATTTAAAAAAAATTAGTTCTTTTAAAGGTGCTTAAACATAACCATACTTAAGAAAGTTGTGGCATCCTCTTTATCACCTATTAGTATTTTATTTTCTTTCTTTTTATCGGAGACTGGTGATTTGCCTTTTGAAATAAAAATATTGCTTTCACACAGAACCTGAAGATTTAAAGAGTTAAATTTTTTTTTATTTAAGCAGTTCTATTATCTAATTAGACATATTCATTTTTATGTGAATGTGTTGTCTAATTCAAGATTTAAATTGGAATTAGGAAGACTAGGGTGTTTAGTAGCTTTGAAACTCAAAAAAAGCAACTTAGAGACCAACAATTATAAACAAAAAAAAATCAGTTTTATTTTACTCTGATTTCAAAAATAGCATTGTATAATTATCATGCACTTTTATAATTATTAATCCCTTTATCCCTTGCGATTACATACATTAATCCCTATGTGTGGAAGTCAAAATCATTATAAACTAAACTTGGAAACTCAAGAAGTCAATTTGAATGTAAAAATAAAATTTCACGCAAAAGTTGGGAGGCTATGTGAATTGTAATAGATAAGCTTATGTATGGGAAGTGGCTAGCAACTACTTAAGATCGACAAATCCTTGATCAATACCAAAAACCATGCTTTTGTATAAGAGTGATTTAAATTACATTTACATATTACATATTTTGTTGTTCTTACAATAAATGACAAATTTTTGTGCAATATATTTGCATGGTAGAAAGGCGAAAAACTCTAAAAATATGATTAATGTGTGTATTTTACTACAGTTCAGAGAATTGTTAGTGAATATAAAAATCAACATAGATGATCAAAACTTGTGAATTTCCCAGCAAATTTAAAGTTCAGTGTCCATAGATAAAACGCTTTAGGAAGACCTCCATGATTATTAGTTAGATTGGGGAAAAAAGAAAGAAAAAACTTAAACAACGTTTATACATCTTTCATACCTGTTAAATAATTTGAAAAGCAAGTTAACATTCAAGTAAAAATACAATTTGAGTATTTGTACAGTATGTACTCTTTGTAGGCTTCATTATAGCAACAAAAATATACAAGCTACATATAAAGATATTAAATTTAAAAATTTTTAAAGAGAAATGTTTTTACCGCAGCTGCAATAATATCGTATTTTGTAATCTTTACAGATGCCATTTTCTTGATCTTTTGCTCGGCAGCGGAAACCCCCGTAGAGAGAACATTGCAAGCTTTTGTCACCAGTTTCAGTATAAAGGAGGTCAGTTGAAGCCTCTCTGCATTCAATGTTAGACAAATAACCCTATAAAGTGAACATCAAAATTAGGAGGAAAGTATAGGGTTGCCAAGAAAAAAACGAACAAAACAGTTGCTTTTAGTAGCGTAAAGAAAGAAAACAGTTGCCAAAATAAGAACAAAAATTTTTAAACAATATGACTAAAATTTTATTAAATGACTTAATTGTCATATACCATGATCAATTTAGTCAAATTGGTGACAAATACGATAATTTTTAAAAAATGTTAATAAAACTTTAAATGTTTTGAATGAATTCTAGTAATTAAATATTTTTAATTATTAGAATTCATTCAAAAAAATACTTTTTCCTTAAAAAAAAGATACTTTTTCTAAAAATTTTTCCCTTTTAATAAATAATTAATTTAGCATATATATATATACACACACACATATATATATATACACTACCGGTCAAAAGTTTGTGAAAATTTTGAAATCTACAAAAAAAAGGTCTAAGTTCAAATGTTCATAGAACTGCGAAAAATCATTCAAATTTCATGAAAATTTGGTACGTTCTAAAGTGAACCCTCTACAGTTAGTTACATATGATCAAATTGCAATACTTTGTTTTTTGCGAACTGAATCCAACTTTTCTTCATG